ATGTATTGTAGAGAAACCGTATTGATCTTTATTCAAGTCGCTATACAACTATTTTATCACAGAAACACTTTGCTCAATGGTTTGTTAATACGATTCCAACTGTGATCAAGACAAAAGCAAAGTTTTCGTATAGCACATGGGTTTATTCCGAAGCATCGAATAATGCGTGAAGAATGTAGTCATTTTGGGGGATTTGGGTCTTCCGTGTAGCCTTTATTAATTATCGGTTTTCGCAACTACTATAGCTCTTTGTTTTTAAGTCTGAAAATCTATAAGAGTTTGCTATTTGTTCAAGGTTTCAAACTAAAATCGAGAAACAATGGGTGCCGACATATTTGGTAAGTATTAATTTAGTCTATGTAATCATTCTTCAGATTTGAGATAGGGAAAATGCTTTCTATACTTCTCATAACCTCTTTAATGCAATTTGTGTCTATTAGTGACTTATGCGTAATTTTCACTTTTTATAGCCGATCCGAGTCTTGATGCGAACTATTGGGCGCGGTTTTTGATGCAGATTTTAATTATTTTGATCTTTGTTCGAATTATGGGATGGATATTATCATTAATCAAACAACCCTCCGTAAGTCAAAAGGATTTATGTTTAAAATCTACATGCTGATGTCAATGACTGACTTCGCACTCGCATCATATTCAAATTCATCTTTGCTGGAATATTTTGTACTGATATCAGTCACAGAAAGACATATGTTATTTATAATCTTTACTTCTCAGCCTACAATTAAAAGAATGAAATCATGACCAAGATTGATTGTTATGTCATATGCAAAAAAACTAGAAGGTCAAAATGATTTAAAATAAGAGTATCAAAAAATACTGAGTTTTTGACTTTCTGCTTTTTCTTAAAGTATCAAACGTTGAATTATGACGAGAATTTGTTCTACGGCTTCGAATTCTTACACAAAAGAATGACCTATCTAAAATAATCTACACAATTTTTACTTCTTTATCTGTGCACGCAAGTACATACTCAGTTTCGATGAAGTCTCATATTCCTTGAGAGAGAGATATGCTAGCATATTTATACCATTGATGTGAAGCAATTTTTATCAGAAGTACTACACTCATCTACATGAACACATTCGCTATAATTGATTAGTTGTCAGCAGTTTCATGTGAGATGATCTGAATTCTACAATCAAAAACTTAAAAGTAATTAAATAAGCCCACGTGCTAATTGCAGATTTTCAGACGCAACTCGAAACCACACGATTAGCTTGGGAGGGTTGGCCGCCGTTATTAGTTGTTGTTTTCTACAGGTAATTGGTGAAATAATTGCCGGTGTCCTTGTTGGTCCATCTGTATTAGGTAATTGGGATTTTTGGGCAAATAAAATTTTTCCCCAGTCATCTTGGAATTATTTCACGCTTGTCGGTGATATTGGCCTAATATTATTCATGTTTAATTTGGGTTTGGAATTAGAACAAAAAACTCTTAAACGTCAATGGAAATATTCATTACCTATTGGACTATTATCCATTTTGGTACCATATGGTGCGGGTGCTGCGTTAAGTATTTATCTCTATGATATTAATGGACGCGACGGATTCGCAGATCCTGATAAAACAGCATTTGTCTTGTTTGCTGCGTCAGCCATGTCATTTACAGCGTTTCCTGTATTAGCATCCATTCTAACAGCAACAAATTTGTTAAGTACACCTATTGGAGCATTAACAATCAGTTGTGCGGCACTAAATGATCTTCTTGGATGGTGTTCATTAGCTGTCGCTGGTGCATTTGCAAAAGGATCAGGAATCACTGGATTATGGTAAGTTTTCATTTGGGACCCAGTTCAAACTAGTTAAAAGACACACACTTTCCACCGACGGACTGGCGAAGGAGCATTCCCTAAGCGATCTATCCCAATTCGACTCGTATTTTGCTGGCACAATAGGTGATATTGGTCTAATCCTAAAACGATTCAACCTCATGCGTCTTTCTTGTCGCGTTATGATGGATTTGATGAAATCTGAGATTACGATATTTACACTATAACTGACGACTAAATCATGCTGGAGAGCTGAAACTTGTAGCAACCCATGGGAGTTTTTGAAATGAATTTGAGCTAATTTAAAAGAGTCTTTTATTAAACTCATTTGAATTATTTTTTTCGAAAAACAATTGTTTTCTTGTAAAGATCACAAAATGAAAGTCTGAAATTTTTACGGCACAGAGGCCATAGCCTGGACTACCATTGCTGCAAGTTTCAGCTCTCCAGCATGGTTTAGTTGTCAGTTATAGTGCAAATATCATAATCTCAGATTTCATTAAATGGACCATAACGCGACAAGGAAGACACATGAGGATGAATCCTTTTAGGATTATTGTTACATTAATATACCCTATCGAGCGGCAAAATACGAGTCGAATAATGGTAAATCAAATGGAAATGTTCCCTCCTGCGAATTTCTAAGAACTGCAAAATATCTAGGGAAACATAGATGGATATGGTATTAATATGAACAACAGAAGTAAATGAAGAGAAAATGAAAAGTAATTGATGTCTTCTCCCTTTCACAGATATTCCTGAGTTTAGAACATATTGTGATTGACTAGTCACTTCAACTACTGAAAAGTATGTTTTTCTTTTCTAGGGTAATTCTGATTTCAATAGCTTATGTATTATTCATGTTTCTTGTGGTACGTACCATTATATATAAAATTCACACTTATCTAGTTGAAAAAGGTGACGAAATGAATAGAATATTTCTTATTGGCATCTTTCTCGTTCTCATCGCATCGTCAATGTTTTGTGATTTACTTGGTATTCATTCGTTTTTTGGTGCATTTATCGCTGGTATTATTTGTCCAAAAACAGGTAAATTCAGGACTGAACTATTTCCGAAACTCGAACTTGTTACAGTCGAATTATTATTACCGCTGTTTTTTGCCTCATCTGGAATGCGTACAAACCTTGGCAGTCTCAATGATAAGTTTTATGGTGGCATTACTGTGGTTATCTTTGCCATTGCAGTCTTGGGGAAATTCGTACCAGCATGTTTAGCAACAAAAATTATTACGAAACGAGGTTGGAAATTTTCCTCAGCTGTAGGAGTGTTAATGAATACTCGAGGCTTGGTGGAACTGATTGCATTGAATATTGGGCTACAATTAAATATATTATCACCTCGAGTATTCACCATGTTTATTATAATGGCGCTTATTACCACGTTCATGACCTGTCCCGTATTATGGTTAATTTATCTAAGAACATATAATCCGGAAGAAGAACTTTTAAAACAAGATGAAATATCACCTCAAAATTATGATGAAGAAAACGTTCAGGGACTTGAAACACCAGAAAAAGTACAACAAAATCAAGATGATATTCTTAGATATTAAGCAAAATATTTAAAAATTGGTCAAGATGTAGAATAACTTTAGTGTTTGATTTCATAAAACTCGAATCATAATTTCTGATCTTAATCCCAACTTTTCTTCTTCTAGAATTTTATTCATGTAAGTCTATATAATTATATAACACAGTGAGCATTAATAAAGATATTTAGCCAAAATGTTATAGTAAATCTATCTCAAGTTTGATTACCGGATAATACGGTTTAATATCTGGGTTATCCTTCCTATTCGAATAGTTTTTCTGTGCACTGGGAACATTTATCATTACTGGAGTGAATGAAATAAAATCGCTTTCTTAAGAGATTTCTTAGCTAGTCCGACTAGCTAAGAAATCCGGCGTCTGTTTTTAGGTGCTTCGAGAAATAGAGGAAAAATTGGTTTTATGTGGGAATTAACGCCTTTTATTGCTTTCTCTCTTTTTTTTCGTTCGGAATACATGGTTTTCTTTCCACTTTCTTTTTTCGTACTTTATCCTAGTGAACGAACAGAAGGAGAAAAAGAATATCCATCTATAGCTTGTATCGAGCACTGCTGTTATTTCATATAGTTCTTCAAAATTGCACAGGTATAAAATATCAATTTTGTTTAATCCGACAGAAAAAAGGAAGACTAATAATAAGAAACGCTACAACTACTTGTATAAAAATCATTTTTATGCTCTTGCAGAGTACAAAAAGTAGATTGTTGACTCCTTTTCGTAATAGACAACGTCGTTACATCGGCAGCTTGAACAGAAGAAAAGGTCTGAACAGAATAGCATGATTTTTAAAAATGATGCATACCTCCCCAATTGTGGTATACTTTTTATATATCCGTAAATGAATAGAATTAAATAAAAGAAATCCTACGTGTTCATCCAAATGTCTATTCATCTTATAGGCAAAATAACTCGACACTCTGGCACATCAGAAATAACTAGAATGGTACACGTTGAGAATCAGACAAAGAATGGAAATAAATCGCTGTAAATTTGTTCACTCGAAACTTTTATATGATTCAATTCACTTATCAATTCATTTATCAGGATTTTCAGTAAGATCATACTGGATATTATCTTTCTCATAAGCTGAACGAAAATTTTGATAAAAAAATAAAATTTCTTCATTTATTAAATGACAGTTTAATAAATAGATGGAATTTTTATCAGTTTAATACTCCCCGTTCTATGATGCGAAAACAAATGTTGTTTTCCAAATAAAACAGTGTATAATATGACATATTAGCATCATTTTAGACACAAACTTGTATAAATTTAGCACTTCATTAATTATACATAACTGTTTATCAATTAATAGAGCATCAATGTTCGACTGATACATATAACAGGGAAAAACGTTGAAGAAAGAAAAAATCAGTCCGTAGTTTGTTAGTCAAGTTGTTCATTTCACATTATATCATTCTCCTTTCTAACGTGGTCAAGTACTGACGTGTTACTTCTTCTGTCCTAGAATTCTATTTACTTATATATATCTATCTACACTGGTATTTTTCCTTCTTTCTTATCGATCACGTGTTTTCCTTTAAAACGTGATCAAATTCTCCAACAATTTTCGGGGTTATGGCCAACCCTCAGGGCCCAGCCCCGGCAGCGATTCATCAGTCAAACCAAGTATTATATCGTTCTGGTTTTGATTCACAATCGGGTCGAATCATATCTCATTCATGTAGTATGAATGGTGGTTTTCCTTATGAGCATTGCTACCCTCAAGTATCATCACAACAAATTCCCGTGAAAAATTTCCACTGTTCAAAACTACCCTTAATGAGTAGTAATTTTCCTCAACAAGATCACCAAGTGGTTTCACATATGGTGGATAATTCTCAATTTAGATCGCAGGAGCACATGCAAACGATTAATAATGCTAATCGTCTAGCTGCTCGACCCTTTCCTCATTCAATTAACTCAATAATTTCTCCATGTCAAAATAATAATCAGATTGTGAGCCCTATTCAGCAATAACAATTTGATCCTTCTTTATCTCATCAACCTAAACAACAACAGTTTCAAAATACTTGTCAAAATGTGGATGAAGGTAATACTGATAATGATTTTATCCCGGTTCGGAATAACAAAAAAAGGAAGATCCATCATCAGACAACTACTGGATCTGAAACTGATTCTTCTTCATCGTACACTGTTCCGAGTCAGACTGCATCAGCAAATATAGATAGTGTTACTGATTCGACATCGTCTTATTTATATATATCCAATCGTCGGTCAAATAATATTCGCTCAAACGTTATCATCAATGGTATATCGCAACAAGCTCGTAGATTTGCTAAAACAAGATATGCTTTTCCACCGTACATTATTAAATTTTTTTTTGAGTTCTTGAAAGTTTTTATTTGACTCCCAGTCTATGAACAATCAGGTATATTATGAAAAATCCTACATAGGATTTTCAGAACTTCAAAGTTTTGTAGATCCCACCAAAGAAAAAAATCAAAATTAAAAAAACCCTGTCCCTCACCTGAACCACTAAGGAGTTCTCTTTCAAATGAGACCAGCGCGAGCGCTCCATCTCGAAGTGTATTGAAAAAATCCTTGTACGCGTGGGACCCCCATTTTTCCCCGTGGTACCTGTATATCTCTCGAACCGAAAGAGCTAGAGCCATGAAACTTTATTTACACTTGTACCTTTATGGGTCAGGCATATGTAGAAAGTTTCATGAAGATTCCATGCAACATGTTAGAAATCGATTTTGGAGGGGGAGGAGGTGAGGCCTTAAAGAAGGAAAATTCTATAACTATGTCCACAACGCGTTCATACAATTGATTAACATATGTATGATATAGCACGTACAGGCAAACAAAAAACTTTAAGTATATTATAAATAAAAAATGTTGTCGATTGCGTGCTAGATTATTAAATTATTATGTTTTACCATAATTTTTAGTACTGAGTTATTTTAAAACAGCCCAAATAGTAGGATAGTAGAATGAACTATAAAACAGATGTTCTCTTTTTGCTTCAGATATGTTATTGATAGCTTGATAAATGAATATTTAAATATAGTCTTTGGAAACATGGCGGTAATTGTTTTGAAGAAGCAGAAACAATCAGAAAAGAAAATGAATCTCGATATATTTAAACTATGTATAGCAAAACTGTTATATAATCAACTGTTCGTTCCATAATAAAGGAATAATAGGGAAATAGTCGAGGATACGCCTGTTACATCAGCAGTATAAACCACTCACATTCAATAAAAAATGAGTGGGTGAACCACTCCCACTCCTTTGAATGTGAGTGTGAGTGGTGGTTCTACAGAACTCCTAGCGAACATAATTTTCAGAAAACTGTTGAATTATGATCTTTTCAGTCTGTTATCGTTCGTCCGGGAAAAAGTAAGACTTCTTCTCGTGCCCCTTTTCCCTGTTTTGCGCAAAGTTAAATTTTCGTTCTGCATCAATTACCGACTCCACACAGAACAGAATATTTCTTTGTACTTTTCCGCTTACAGTCTTTTCTGATTTCGTGCGTATGACACTCCTCAGACAAGAACACTTTATGTCAGACACTGAGACTATTCGCATCACTCGCGTTCCCTTACCCGAATCAAATTTTCTTCCTGAATTAAGTCATTCACTGTAATATACCGGCAGTCAATGAACTGTGTGAATCACCAGATGAACATTTCTTGTTTTTTTTATACGGGTCAATAGTAGATCTACTATAGTTACTTAATTAAATCATGTGTCAACAATCAGTCTCATGTTAGAACGGCAGCATCCTTAATTTTCTTCGAAATATGTAATCACCGCGTATTTCGGTCTGAAAACGTTTTTCGGACAGGGTTCTATGACCTAAAATACAGAGAATCAAATTCTCCATTAGTTCAAAAATCTCTATTACATTTTATCTAAAAATGCTTCGTCTAGGAGGTAAATCTTTATCACTATTTCCTATTAATTTCTATTAATTGTCTCATTGTCATTTTCATCGCTGTCCTGAACAGATGTGCATCGGTTTCGGCTATTAACCGAAAACCGACCATCGAATAAAGTTCATAATGTGCCTGGTTTTCATTGTTATTGTTCTAGTTTTCAAAATCTGGATAAACTGAAATCACAATTACTGATTTTTCGCGCAGATCTGAATATAACTCTAGATAGTATTACTTAAAATATTTCTATTGTTGGATTCAAAAACTAAGATATTCCGTGCCTTTTCAAATAACTTGACGATGCGAAGAAATATCGAGAAAAGATTTTGTCTGACTTGTAGCCAACTTTGGGGCACATCGAACTATGCAGAAAAAGTAATTTTCATTAGGTCCCATAGGTTCTCCAGAAGGATCTTTGAAAAACCAGCTCGGATCTCTGAAAACTGAGATAGAAATTATATCAGTTTTTTTCTATAGATAGTCCAAAATGTTCTCTTCAAAAGGAGAACTAAGCGACCTCTTAGTTATTAGTTAAAATAATCCATTTTTCCCTATTATTTATTCCTTCTAAAAACTTATTACCCAGTGATGATCCATCCAAATTATGTCTGAATATGAAAATGTACTCTATTCTACCTGCTCAACACCATGTAGTTCAGTAAAACCTACACAAATCAACAGAAAAGATCCTGGGTTTTGTAAAGGTTTTCTAGAAGTCTTCCGCTCTACAAGAGTGTTTCTGACTATTCTCCAGTAAATAATCGTACTATACGATCATTTATCGGAGAATAGTAAGAAACACTCCGATAATAGAAATATTTTAATTAATGCCATCTAGAGTTATATTCACATCTGCGCGAAAAATCAGTAATTTTGATTTCAGTTTATCCAAATTTTGAAAACTAGTACAGTAACAATGAAAACCGCGCACATTATAAAATCTATTCGATTATAATCGAACCGATGCACACCTAGTCCTGAAGAATTCTCTATATTTCATTTACATGGCTAAGTTTTGAAGTGTGAATGCTGAAACTAGTCCCACTCACATTTAAAGAAGTGGTAGTGGTCGAACCAGTCTCACTCAGATGAGTGAAATTGATGATGTAACAGGCCTAGTCTTCTTTTTCAGGTTCTTGAAAATACAGGTTAAAAATCAAATGTTTCTTTTTCAAAAAATCTGTTCACTAATAAAAGAAGTCTTTGTTGAGTCGACCGCCCGTTTGTGTTTAAGGGTATCCCCTCTCTTTTGACCTTGTTGCCAGAACTGGAGCACGCGTCCGATCGAGCACAAATTTAGAGCAAAGATTGGAGAGCGAATAAGGAAATGGATGTATTTTTGCTCAGAAGTTTGTGACATGAACTTCTCTGAGTTTTCTAGAAAACCCCAGTTTTCATCAAGCTACATTATGACCCCTCGAAAAAATGATCCAGAATTTTCACCACAGATACTCCAGACCCTATTTCAAGTTCTAATGTTTTTTCGAAAGATATGCTTTCCTTCTAGATATAGAAAAATGCGGAAAATCACTGAAAAAACTGACTTTTTTCAAAGCATATCTTTCGAAAAAAACTTAGAACTTGAGATAGGGTCTGGAGTATTTGTGGTGAAAATTTCGACTCGATCGGACCATTTTTTCGAGGGGTCATAATGTGACTGGATGAAAACTGCAGTTTTCCGGAAAACCCATAGAAGATCATGTCACAAAATTCTGATCAAAAATACATCCATTTCCCTTTACGCTCTTCAATCTTTGCTTTAAATTTGAGCTCGATCAGACGGGTGCTCCACATTTGGCAACAAGGTCAAAAAAGAGGAGCTAATAAGAAAAAGGCGCTAACTCGGGTTCCCCTCACGTAAGATCGACGTCCTTTGTAAATGATCGCCATGCTTCTTCATATGGTGTTAAATTATGTCGGAAATTTCTAACTGAAGGCAACGCACCATAATCTAATAAAACTTGTACTAATTGTTTATGGCCATAATAACATGCAACATGTAAACTTGTTGAACC